ACTAAATGCCTAACCAACCTTGCTTATTGTTTGCCTTCCTTATTGGAATTGATATTTTATAAAGTTTTGAGGTTTGTATTCATTTGTGTTCACTATTTTACTCCCTGTGTTTTCAGTAATACTTGGCAAGCAGTAGGGACCAATAAATATCTAGTGATTAAGTAGATGTAATAAACTAACTGTAGTTTGATGTAAGCACTAAGTAAGAAATAAACAGACTGATTGACCAGAATGGACATCATCAGTCTTGGCTGTTTGTTAAAATCATAGTGGGAAGTATTTGCAAATAAAGATACCTGTTATTCAACCTCCAAAATTCCTCCTTACTTGGTCTAGAAGGAGCCTGGTTATTGTTTTGTTTCTAATGTTCTCTAAGTGATTCTCAATGTAAAGCAAAGCTGAGAACCAATGACTCTGAAACTAAGTAGGAACAGGAGAACCTACTGGAAATAAAATCACAGAGAAATCTTCATCTTTTTCTGAAATTATATCATTTATGTGAAAACTTGGAGGAAAAAAAAATAAAGCACAGGCAGTTTGGGGGCCAGGAGGTTTAGTTCCTAGCAGAGGGTCAGAATAAGAGTGAAAGTATTGGAGTACAGTTGTGTTTGGTGTGTTCTCTGAGCAGAAGGTTATTGTGGGTGGTGCAAAGCAGGAAAGAAGAGTGGAATAAGATGAGATTAAAAAGGTACACGGGAAGTACTTTATGCTGGGCTCAATAAACGGTGCATAGTAAAAAAAAAAAAAACAAAAAAAAAAAACTTACTTTATGAGATGAGAACTGTGAAAAGATTTTTGAGGATGATGTAATCTGGTTTATTTTGTTGCGTAAAGGCATCCAAGAACACAGAAAGAACTCAGGAGGCTTTTTTGGTAGTCTAAGAGCCTGAACTGCACTAATGGCTAAGGATCCTCTCTGTTGTCTAGATGGAAGAAGTCTGAGAGTGGCATACAAATCTACTCGCTTCAGGTAAACTCACCCACAAGGCCAGTGGTTTCTGGAAAACTTTCCAGAATTTTTAACCACTTCAGTTCATAGCTAATTCTGTGGTTCGTGGCTTCAGAGGTTGGAGTCTGTATGTCCCGACTTACCCAGTCTATCCTAGTTGATCAAGTAGTGGAAAAGGAGCCACCTACCTAGCAAATGATCTAATCTAAACGGGATTTTTTTTTAATGACAGAATCATTTCCTCATATAAATTTTAAAGAGCTCAACTAATTTTCAGTCCTGACTCTTTTCTGCTTTCTGGGAGATTAAGACAAGGACACAAATAGAAGTAACAGAAGAGGAAAACAAGTATCCAAATGGAGATATAAGCAAAAATTAGTCAGTGCTATCTTTGGTTTGGCACTCACCTTATGCTGAACACTGCCGTGTGCTTTGTGCATGCTCCTGTTTAGTCTCCAACACAATTCAATGGTGTAGGGAAAAAGACATCCCACAATGATGACAATCATTGTGGATAACATTCACTAAGTGCTTAGAATTAGCCAATCATTAAGCAAGATGTTTTGATATCTCCTACAAATGAGGAGAACTAGGGTCAGGGAGTATAAATGATTTATCCCAAATCACAGAACAACAAGGCAGTTGTACTTCAGATAGTCAAACACAGGTGATCTTAAAGAGTTAGAAGAATTTTACAGCAGATAGTTTCAACCTTTTCTAGAAGATGCATGTAGACAGTGAACAGGCCATGGTAGAATACACATGTGGAGATAAGAAGGAAAGGCACCTGTGCTGTTGGTGTTCTGTTCAGGAAGTTGTCTCCTGTTCCAATGAGTTCAAGGCTCTTCCCCACTTTTTCTTCTAATAGGATTATTGTGTCCGTTTTAATATTGAGGTCTTTGATCCACTTGGATTTTAGTTTTGTGCAGGGTGATATATATGGGTCTATTTTCATTTTTCTACATGTAGACATCCAGTTAAACTAGCACCATTTGTTGAAGATGCTGTCTTTTTTCCATTATATGGTTTAGGCATCTTTGTAAAAAATCAGGTATCCATAAATGTATGGGTTTGTTTCTGGGTCTTCTATTTGATTCCATTGATCCACCAGTCTGTTTCTATGGCAGTACGATTCAGTTTTTACTACTGTTGCTCTATAGTACAGCTTGAGACCAGGGATGGAGATACCTGAGGAAGATATTTTATTGTAGAGGATTGTTTTAGCAATTTTGGGTTTCTTGCTATTACATGTGAATTTGAGAATTTTTCTTTCAAGGTCTGTAAATAATTGTGTTGGTAATTTGATTGGAATTGCATTGAATCTGTAGATTTCTTTTGGTAAGATGGCCATTTTTACTATGTTAACCCTGCCAAGCCATGAGCATGGAAGATCTCTCCATGCTCTTCTGAAATCTTCTATTTCTTTCTTCAGAGATTGAAAGTTTATTTCATACAAGTCTTTGACTTACTTGGTTACAGTTACACTGACTTACTTTATGTCCTTTGTGGCTATTGTGAAGGGTGTTGTTTCTTTCTCAGCACTTTTGTCTTTTGTATACAGGAGGGATACTGATTTTTTTTGTTGAGTTGATATTGTATCTAGGCACTTGACTGAAGGTGTTTATCAGCTGTAGGAGTTCCCTGGTAGAATTTTTTGGGTCACTCATGTATACTTTCATGTCATCAGCAAATAGTGATACTTTGACTTCTTCCTTTCCAAAATAAATCCCCTTGAACTCCTTTAATTTTCTTAGTGCTATAGCAAGGACTTCAAGTACTATGTTAAAGAGGTATATATATAGAGGGCAGCCTCACCTTGTCCCTGATTTCAGTGAGATTGATTTAAGTTTCTCTCCATTTAGTTTGAGATTGGCTATAGGCTTGCTGTATATTGCCTTTACTATGTTTAGATGTGTGCCTTTTATCCCTGATCTCTCCAGGACATTAAACATAAATGAATGTTGGATTTTTATCAAATGTTTTTTCATCATGCAAGGAGATTATCATATGGTATTTCTCTTTCAGTTTGTTTACATGGTGGATTACATTGATGGATTTCCATATATTAAACAACCCCTGCATACCTGGGATGAAGCCTACTTGGTCATAATGGATGATATCTTTGTGTTCTTGGATTTGGTTTGCAAGTAGTTTATTGAGTATTTTTGCATCAATGTTCATAAGAGAGATTGACCTGAAACTCTCTTTCTTTGCTGGATCTCAGGCTTTAAGATCAACAATCAATAAATGGGACCTCACGAAACTGAAAAGCTTCTATAAAAGGCATTGCCATCAGAACAAAACCACAGCCTACAGACTGGGAAAGAACTTCACCAACCCTACAACTGACAGAGGGCTAATACCCAGAATACATAAAGAACTAAAGAAGTTAAACATCAACAAATCAAGTATCCCAATTAAATAAAGGGGCACAGAGCTAAACAGAGAATTCTCAGTAGAGGAACAAGGAATGGCAGAGAAGCACTTAAAGAAATGCTCAACATCCTTAGTCATCAGGGAAATGCAAATCAAAATGACCGTGAAATTTCACCTCACATCCATCAGAATGGCTAAGATCAAAACCTCAAGTGACAGCACATGCTGGAGAGGATGTGAAGAAAGGAGAATCCTCCTCCATTGTACAACCACTTTGAAAATCAATGTGGTACTTTTGCAGACAAATAGGAATAGTGCTACCTCAAGATCCAGCTATACCACTCCTAGGCAAAAGATGCTCAAGTACACGACAAGGACATTTGCTCAACCATGTTCATAGCAGCTTTAATTGTAATAACCAGAAGCTGGAAACAACCCAGATGTCCCTTATTTGAGGAATGGATACAGAAATTGTGGTACATTTATACAATGGAATACTAGTCGGCAATTAAAAACTAGGAAATCATGAAATTTGTGGGGAAATGATGAGACCTAGAAATGATCATCCTGAGTGAGGTATCCCAAAAGCAGAAAGACACACATGGTATATACTCACTTCTAAGTGGATATTAGACATATAATATAGGATAATCATGCTAAAATGTTTACACCTAAGGAAGCTGAGCAAAAAGGAGGACCCTGGGTAAGATGTGCAATCTTCATTCAGTAAGAAAGTCAAATGGGATGGCCATCGGGAGAGGGAGAAGACAGGGAACAGGACAGAAGCCCTCTACAGGGGTCCTCTGAAAGACTCTACCCATCATGGAATCTTAGAAGATACTGAGACCCATAGCTAAACTTTTGGCAGAGTACCAGAAACCTTAGGGAAGAAGAAGGAGACAGAAAGATCTGGAGTGAACAGGAGCTCCACAAGGGGAGCAACAGAACCAAAAAATCTGGGCACAGTGGTCTTTTCTGAGACTGATACTCCAAACAAGGACCATGCATGGGGATAACTTAGAACCCCTGCACAGATGTAGCCCAAGGCAGCTCAGTATCCAAGAGGGTTCCCCCATAATAGGACCAGGGACCACCCCTGACATTAACTCATGGGCTGGCTCTTAGATCACCTCCTCCACCTGAGAGGTAAGCAGCCTTACCAGTCCACAGAGGAAGACAAAGAAGCCAATCCTGATGACACCTGATAGACTAGGGTCAGACGGAAGAGGAGGAGGACCTCTCTTATAATTGGACTGGGAGAGGGGCATAGGAGAGGAAGAGGGAAGGAAGGTGGGATTGAGAGAGGATGAGGAAGGGGGCTACAGCTGGGATACAAACTGAATAAACAATAACTAATTTAAAAATACTCAAATTTCCATTGTGCAAGAAAACAGACAAAGCTCCCATCTTAGATTATCCTTAACCATCTTTGTCAGTCCTCATATGTTAGATTCAGTATTGCATTTGGTCATTTTCCTCTCAAACTTTTCTCATGAATGAACTGAAATAAAACAATATCATATTAACCAGACTATAATATAGTTCATAGAGAGGCAATTGATTAAAGAATTTTACTCACAGCATAGGTGGCAACCAGTAGAAAAGTCTCCAGAGAAAGGCTCAGGGGCTTTCCCAACCTCATTAATAATTTACATGATATATAAAATGTACTTACCACGTCTGAAGATGACTCAAAGCTGGCAGAGAATCAAATACTTTCAAGAATAAAATTAAGATGCAATGTGCACTCCGATGGATTGGTATACTGGGCTAAAATTAAAACAGTGAAATTTAAATAAGATAAAGAAAAATTACTCAACACAAACCTTAAAAACATATTTTGTGACACTGGATGAAACGATGTTGTCTCAGAAGCAGGCCACATACAAGCAACCAAAAAGGGTTTAAGGTTTTATTTGACCCACCAACAAAATTTGAGCCAACAGTTTAATGAAGGTAGAATATCTGGCTGGTAAAGTGCCAGAGTTCCAGTTGAGGGCATATTGATTAAACTATTTCAGACCTCATGAAACTGATAAGCTTCTGTAAAGCAAAGGACACTGTCCTCAGAACAAAACTACAGCCTACAGATTGGGAAAGGATCTTCACCAACCCTATATCTGATTGAGGGCTAATGTCCAGTATATATAAAGAACTAACAAAGTTAAACAACAAAAAATCAAGTAATCCAATTAAAAAATGAGGAACAGAGCTAAACAGAGAATTCCCTGCAGAGGAATATCGAATGGCAGAGAAACACTTAAAGAAATGCTCAACGTCATTAACCATCAGGGAAATGCAAATCAAAATGACCCTGAGATTTCACCTTACACCCATCAGAATGGCTAAGATCAAAAACTCAAGAGACAACACATGCTGGAGAGGTTGTGGAGAAAGGGGAACCCTCCTCCTTTTCTGGTGGGAATGTAAACTTGTACAACCACTCTGGAAAGCAATCTGGTGCTTTCTCAGACAACTAGGAATAGCGCTTCCTCAAGATCCAGCCATACCACTCCTAGGCATATACCCAAAATATTCTCAAGTACACAATAAGGACATTTGCTCAACCATGCTTGTAGCAGTCTTACTTGTAATAACCAAAAGCTGGAAACAGCCCAGATGCCCCTCAGTGGAGGAATGGATGCACAAATTGTGGTATATCTACACAATGGAATATTACTCAGCAATAAAAAACAAGGAAATCATGAAACTTGCAGGTAAATGGTGGGATCTGGAAAAGATCATCCTGAGTGAGCTACCCCAGAAGCAGAAACATGCACACGGTATATACTCACTCATATAGACATATGATATAGGATAAACTTACATCTGTACACCTAAAGAAACTAATCAAGAGGGAGGACTCTTGCTAAAATGCTCAATTCCTATCCAGAAAAGGAAAAAGACTGGACATCAGAAGAAGGAGAAAAGAGGGAACAAGTCAGGAGCCTGACACAGAGGACCTCTGAAAAGCTCTGCCCTGCAGACTATCAATGTAGATGCTGAGACTTATGGGCAACCTTTGGACAGAGTGCAGGGAATCTTAGGAAAGAAGTGGGAAACAGTAAGATCTGTAGAGGACAGGAACTCCACAAGGAGAGCAACAGAACTAAAAACAATCTGAGCACAGGGGTCTTTCCTGAGACTGATATTCCAACCAAGGACTATGCATGGAGATAACCTAAGACCCCTGCACAGATGTAGCCCATGACAGTTCAGTATCCAAGTAGGTTCCATTGTGATAGGAACAGGGACTGTCTCTGACATGAACTGATTGGCCTGCTCTTTAATTACCTGAGGGTAATTACCTGAGGGGGCAGCAGCATTACCAGGCCACAGAAGACGACAATGCAGCCACTCCTGATGAGATCTAATTGACTAGAATCAGAAGGAAGGAAAAGAAGTCCTCCCCTATCAGTGGACTTGAGGAGGGGCATGCATGCAGAGGGTGGCAAAAGGGAGGGATTGGGACTGGAGGAGGGAGAGAACCACAGGGGGGATACAAAGTGAATAAAGTGTAATTAATAAAGAAAAAAAGTGTAACACAGGCAAAAAGATTAAAAAAAATAGTAGCAGGATTGGGAGGGGATGGGGGGGGACTATAGCTGGGATACAAAGTGAATAAACTGTAATAAATAAAAAAAATGGAATAAATAAAAACTACTATTTCTAGATCTTAAACATCGTTGTTGTCCTTCAGCCTCCAGCATTCCTTCCTGGAGTCTCCTACTCAGCTCTAAATAGAGGGTCACTGAGAAGAGCTAAAGCCTCTTGAGAAGAGACAGAAGATTGGAAAAAAAATCACCTCAGTTCATAGTAGGAGAAGGTTTGGAAGAAACCTGGGGCTGATGAGCAGGAGGGTACACACCTGCCTCAGGTATCTACTGCTTTTCTTAAAAAAAAAATTATTTATTTATTTCATATTAATCTATTTATTTATTTATTTCAGCTTATTCACTTTGTATCCCCACTGTTGCACCCTCCCTCATCTCTTCCCAGTCTCACCCTCCCTCCCTCTTCTCTCTCTATGCCCTTATCCTAGTCCCCTGAGAGGGGAGGACCTCTTTCCCTTCTAACTGACCGTAGCCTATCAGATCTCATCAAGTTTGGCTACATCATCTTCCTCTGTGCCCTGGCAAGACTGCACCCCCCCCCAGGAAGTGATGATCAAAGAACAGGCCACTAAGTTCATGTCAGAGACAGCCCCTGCTCACTTGCTAGTGAACCCACTTGGAAACTGAACTTTCTGTGGGCTTCCTCTGAGCAAAGGGTATAGGTCTTCTCCATGCATGGTTCTTTGTTGGAGTATCATTCTCTGCAGGCACCATGGACCCAGGTGTTTTGGTGCTGTTGCTCTCCTTGTGGAGTTCCTGTCCACTCCAGGTCTTGTGGTATATTTACACAACGGAGTACTACTCAGCAATTAAAAACAAGGAAATCATTAAATTTGCAGTCAAATGGTGGGATCTGGAAAAGATCATCCTGAGTGAGCTATCCCAGAAGCAGAAAGACACATTTGGTATAAGCTCACTTGTAACTGGATATTAGCCATATAATATAGGATAAATATACTAACATCTGTAGTCCTAAAGAAGCTAAACAAGAAGTAGGACCCTAGGGAAGAGGCTGAAACCTCACTCAGAAGGGCAAACAGGATAGACATCAGAAGAAGTCGAAGACAGGGAACAGGACAAGAGCCCTCCACAGGGGTCCTCTGAAAGATTCTACCCATCATGGAATCTAAGGAAATACTGAGACTCATAGCCAAACTTTGGGTAGAGTGCCAGAAACCTTATGGAAGGAGAGGGAGATAGAAAGATCTGGAGGAAACATAAACTCTACTGGTTTTCTTTTCATATTAATTTATTTATTTTTACTAACTACAATTTTTTTCACTTTGAATCCCAGCTCTAGCCCCCTCCCTGGTCCCTTCCCAATTCCACCTTCCCTATACGTTCTCCTCCTTTGCCCCTTCTCTAGTCCACTGAAAGGGGAGGGCCTCCTCCCCTTCCACCTGACCCTAACTTATCAGGTCTCATCAAGACTGGCTGCATTGTCTTCCTCTGTGGCCTGGTAAGGCTGCTCCCTGCTCAGACGGAGGTGATCAAAGATACAGCCCCTGAGTTCATGTCAGAGACAGCCCCTGTTCCCCTTACTAGGAAACCCACTTGGACACTGAGCTGCCATGGGCTACATCTGTGCAGGGGTTCTTGCTTATCTCCATGCATGGTCTTCGGTTGAAGTATCAATCTAGAAAAGACCACTGGGTCCAGATATTTTGGCTTTGTTGCTCTCCATGTGGAGCTCCTGTGCCCTTCAGGTCTTTCTATCTCCCCCTTCTTTCATAAGATTCCCTGCACTCTGCCCAAAGTTTTGCTATGAGTCTCAACATCTGCTTCCATACCGTGCTGGGTACAGTCTTTCAGAGGCCCTCTGTGGTAGGCTCCTGTCCTGTTCCCTGTTTTCTCACTCTTCTAATGTCTGTTCCTTTTGCCTTTCTGAATAAGGATTGAGCATTTTACCCAGGGTGTTCCTTCTTGCTTACCTTCTTTAGGTGTACAGATTTTAGTATGTTTATCCAATATTATCAGTTTAATATCCACTGATAAGTGAGTATATACCATGTGTATCTTTCTGCTTCTAGGATACCTCATTCAGGATGATCTTTTCTAGTTCCCACCACTTGCCTGCAAATTACATGATTTCCTTGTTTGTAATTGCTGAATTGTATTCCATTGTGTAAATGTACCACAATTTCTGTATTCATTCTTCAGTTGAGGGATATCAGTGTTGTTTTCAGATTCTGGCTCTTATGATTAAAGCTGCTACGAACATGGTTGAGCAAATGTCCTTGTTGTATACTTGAGCATAGTGCGGATATATGCCTAGGAGTGGTATAGCTGGATTTTGAGGTGGCACTTTTCTATAGAAGCATTATATGTCTGTGTTTTGGGAGTTTGGGGGAGGTTGGGGTTGGGGGTAAAAGCACCACTACCACTCAGTGGTAACAAGAAAGCAGGTTATGCAATAAACTTTTCAGAAAGCCCTTCTGACCTTCAGAAGGTCCTGCTGGAGGATAGGCAGGCTGATAAGGCAATGCGGTCTCAAGTCCTAGCTGCATGAACTGATGCCAGTGGCAAAATTGTCCTAATGAGGTTTCTTGTGGCTTGAGGGACCGTTTTCCTTTCTGTGTGAACCCTGCTGTACAATGAGCCCATGTCTGCAGTCCATAGTGTTAGGAACAGCTTTGTGGGACTTACTTAATCTCTGTCTCATTTAGCTCTGTCTCATTTAGTTTTTTTTTTTTTTTTTAGGCCTGCTGAGTGAGAATGCCACCTCTCAGAGGAGGGGCATGTGACTGAAATATAGCAACTCAAGTTTCTACTAGAAGGAGCTTCATCATTTCTTTTCCACCTCCCTGCAAATAACAGTCATCACATTAAACACACACACACTCATATTAAGCACACACACACACACACACACACACACACACACACACACACTAAAACATCTGGTCTCAGTCACCTGTCTAATTTCCTATCTCATTACCCTCTCCTCCCTTCATGTATCTGAGGTGGAGACAAAGTTCTTGCTGTTGTTTTTTGTGTATGTTTCCCTGAACAGTTCACTCATCTCCTTCAAGGCTCAGTTCAGATCACCTATTCAGTGAGACTTTCCCTCGCCAGTGTTTTAAATTCTATGTTGTCATGTTGTGCAGGTTTCTACACACACAATTTCAACCACTTTACATATTTAATACAATGCATTGTGCTTTTTAATAGTTTATTTTGGTTTTCTCTATGTTAAGTTCTTTACATGTCAACATGTAGTTCTCATGTCTGGTGTGTGTGTGTGTGTGTGTGTGTGTGTGTGTGTGTGTGTGTGTGGTTTCTCAGCTTCTAGCATACTGGCAAGCACATACTAGGTTCTCAATAAATGTCTGATGGACTGCCTTCCAAATCCATGCAATTCCCTGTTCTGGTTATTTCAACAACAACAAACAATCATGTGCTAGTAGTAAAGATATAAAATTTAAGTTAAATAAAAAGGAAATTACAGTTGTAAAATTGGCTTCCAATCTGATATCAAGGAATTGAATACTGAGTAGTAGGATTTGAGATGCTTTTGTATATTTTCTCAATTTCCTTCATTTGTCATGCAATTATGTCACATTACTGACCAACTGATGATAATAATTATGGAAGCTAATATCAGCTGAGTGCATACAATGTACCAGCATTGTGATAAACACTATTAGATTAAGATATTTAGTCTTTTGAAATTGCCACTACTAAAATTCGTATCGTAAAGACTAGAAAACTGAAAAGACAGGAGGTATCATAGCTTGTCCAAGGTCACATAATTAACATTAGACAAATTCCAAGATCCATGTTATTAACCATTGCTATCAACATAAGATGGAAAATTGATGACGATGATGATAAAATAAAGCTAGTGTTGCTAGTATTTGTTAAGCATCAAGAGCTATGCTAGTTATCACACACCATCTCATTAACATCTTGGAACAACCTGAAGACATATACTACTATTATTTGACCATTTTTTCAGAGCTAAAAGACCTGTAATGTACTCAGATATTTTCAGTCCTACTTAGCATATGACTTGGTTTCATGAAAGACATGCTTTGATTCTCTTTCTGCCACAATAGGCCAGCAGGGAAGCTTGGAAAGCTGTCAATAACATCCTAGTGCTACTTGTATTCTCCATGTCCTGAAGAGTATGCCTCTGGAACAAATGAGGATTTCATTCCTTGCTTGTCCTATTTTCCCATCTGAGAGTATACTTCTTGCTTGCTTACTTCCGTTATCCTGCCAATTGCATCCCAAAGCATAGTTTAATTGCAATTGTCTCCAGGAATCTCTCTTTAACCTTTCTGCCATGATGTCTCTGTCTCTGTCTCTGTCTCTCTCTATCTCTCTCTCTCTCTTTCTCCATGTAGTTCACGCACAGCAGGTATCTCCAGCTTTGCTATGCTGGTTTTCTTTTCATTCTGGTATGCCTGTCTCAGTTATATTACAGTTCAAAAAAGCAGCTGAGTCCTGTGCTCCTTGTAATGCCCTGAGTCAATAGTTTGCATGTAAATAGTAGACCCTCAGTAATTACTCTGTTGATTTAGTCAGAATATTATGCCCTCACAGTTGTACATATGTTCTCTTTTCAAGGTACTCTCATGCATATATGCATGTGTGAAGAAGGGGGAGGGAGGGAGGGACTGGGAGGGGAGGAGGGAGGGGCTTATGAGGGGATATAAAGTGAATAAACTGTAATTAATAAAATAAATTTCGTCTACTTAGAAAAAAAGAAAAGAAAACAAATAGAACTGTGTAGGATGACAAAGGGGAATGGATGGGAAGGAGGAGCATGTAAAAAGGAAGAGGATGGGGGAATACGCTTCATAAACAATGTTCACTTGCATGAAGACTGAAATAAATTTCACTAAAGGAAAAAAAATAGTATCTGCTTAAAAAATATAAATATTTAAGCTATGGAAGGTAATACAAGCCTGTATTCCCAGCACTTGGGAGGTTGAAGCAGAAGATGAGGAATTCAAGACTAGCTCATTCTACTATTTATAACTGTCTCAAAAGAGGTGTGGTGGGATGGGGTGGGTGGGTATCAAAACAAAGCAAACAGGAAGGCTTGAAATAAACTTTGATTTTTAATTTTCCTAGAGAAAAATTCTGAACACATAAGGTTTACTCATCTGTTTACTGCTTAAAATAAAGTGCAGTAGGTAGTGTAATAAGTATTATGGTGAAAATAGAAAGCCAGGTAGAAAGTCAACAGTTCTAAAATGGTTGGAGATCCTGCAAGAACAACAGTTATAAAGATAGTGTAAGGAGGGGTGTCAGTGATTAAATGGCCACATTATCATAGGTTCCCTTCAAACTGGAAACCATCATTGCTAGCTCCTTTTATGTAGACTTCATGGATAAAAAATTAAAGACATTAATATCTTTCACTTGCCAAGTGCACACAAAAAGATAAATGATGTATGCTGATGTGAATCAAAACAATTTTTTAAGGCTGAGGAAATGGTTCAGTCAGTAAAAGACTGGAAGCACAAGCATGATTAATTGAGTTGAGATACCCCAGCATCTATGTAAAAAAAAAAATCATCGTGGTGTAGACCTGTAATACTAGTGCTTGGAAGGTGAACCAAGAGGATTCCTAAAGCTGGCCAAATGGTCCTGCCAGATCAGTGAGCTCCAGTTTCAGTGAGAGACCTTGTCTCAAAAATTAATGTGGGGATTGACAGAGGAAGACATCCAATATCAACCTCCGGATTCCACAGGTATGCAGGTGCACCTCTACATGTGTGCATGCACAGCTACCTGCTCATATGATAAACACACATATACCACATACACATGTTATTAACAAACAGAATTTTAACTAGTTATTTGATTTTACAAAGGTGAAGTTTCTAGTAGAAAAGTACCTATCAATTCCTGAAAGAAAGTGGGGGGAAGAATGTGCATAAGAGCTGTTTGGACAGATGTTAGTCAGAGTTCTACAAAGTCTTTGTTAATGAAGAACAACTGAACACCCCAATTAAGCCAGGTGCATTTCCTCCATAATGGGGTCAATGCAATTAGCTTGATACCCATAGCCAAACTCTTAACTTGCCCTTACACACATTAGGTCAGGGCCATTACATGGTATTAGGGCTAATTAAACAGTAGCCAACTATGTTGACCCAAGCATACCATGGCAAAGATAAGGAGGGAAGAGGAATGAATCATATTGTATTCTCTTGCTAGTAATTTCTAGTCTCATTTAGGACTTAACAGATTATTTTTCTGGATGTCAGTATATCCAAATGAGAAGTGAGTATTTCAAACACTTTTGACCGTGATCTACATGAAATATATATTTCATATATATATTCATGTTACTTCATGAAATATATATTTTTATGTATATATTACACATATAGATGTATTTATGTGTCTATATACATGTATAAAATTTTTGTGTACTATGTAAAATCATGTAAAATTACACCTGTACATGGAATAAGCATTTAATGAAGCTATATTCATCTTTCTTGTATACAGAGTACATTTTTATTCATTTCTGCTTTTATTCGTTATTTGTTTTAAGGCTCCTTATTGCTCATAAAGTTGACTCCCTGTTAACAATTCCATGTGAAAATGTGGCTATTGACCAATAGTTGCCAAATCTGCCCCACATCCTAACCCATTGAGGTCTTTATTAAATGCATTTTGTTGAAAAGAGCATGCTGCAGTGGAACCCAGAGACTCATGCCTAGGAGGTGAATGCTGTACTGCTGATCTGCATTTTTCAGTTCCAACATGATCGTTTATTCCTTTCCAAACCAATGAAACTAACCAGAAGTTCTTCAAGTACAACCTGTGAATCTTCACACACACACACACACACACACACACACACACACACACACACACACA